AGCACTGCAAAAAGAAAACCCAGAACAAGGGAGGTGGGTAATAAAAAAGGAAGCAGTAGGAGTGCCAGCATTAGAGAGAACTGTCCTAGGATGACACTAACATTTACCTGAAGGTTTGGGAGGTTTTTCTTTTCTTCTACTTAACAAGTGATAGGGACTTAAACGTAAATTCTGGCCTGCTCTCGGGAGCCACTTAATTATGTCAGTTCACACTCCCTGTTGCAGCCTAAGCAAGAATTTGATGCTCAGACAAGAAGAACAGAGGACCAGCAAGGGAGAGGTTTGCAACACCAAGCATTATTGAACACTGTGCTGCCATTACTTCCTGTATCTGTTCCTAACCAAGTTGGTTTCAGCTTTATAGGCCAAACAGGTGAAATTTATCCTCCCAAGATCAAACATTCATGGAAATCACTAGAAACACATAGAAACTAGAAACACTCAACACCTCTCCTTGCAACTGACATCAGTGACACATCCAATACAAAGGATCCTTATCAATGTCCACTCAAGAAGACTGTATCAGTTTCAAGACACTCTTTTTTACAACTAATTAGATCATTTTGGCAAGATAGCATGAATAAAAATCAAATACTTTCACAGTCTAGCTCAGTTTCACAGGCTCGGCTTATACGTGTTTAAGTGCAAAGCACCGTCAGTCACCCTCAGAAAACTGGGATCAAACTTAGAAAAAGCATTGTCTTTAAAATGCATTTCATATGAGATCACTGTATGGAGAGGAGTTCATGATCATCTCAAAATGCAGAATTAAAATATATTCCTGTGTTCCAGTTACCAGTTCTTCTGTTACACTACCACATGCTGACCTGCTCAAACACCGAAGATTGAATTAAGGTCAGTAACTGTTTACTCCCCTTTTTTTAGTATTTATGAAGAGTGCTTGCATAGTATCAGCTGCAAAACAAAGCCCTTAAAAGACTGGTGACCATTTCACTTGTTTCATGTCATCCATTTGCATTCGACGCAAAAAAAAATTAGTGTTACTCTTTTGTCAAAACGCTCTCTCTGCTCTTATTTTCTCTTACTCCAGCCTAAAGCCACCTGGAGTAACTTTGTAAGAGAATTCTGCCTGAACTTGATAACCTTATTAATGACAAGCAGAAGCCACCTAGCATGAGGAAACCTCGTACTGGCCATTGTCACCCCTAGTAAGAAAAAAACCAACAAACAAACAAAAAAATCCCAACTAAATAAAAGTACTGTCAGTCTAGGAAGTTTAGTCCTTGAAGCTGCTTTCATCCTAATGGCTTTATATACTAATTGACAACTGTGAATAACCCTGCTGCAGCACTCAGGTAAACTTTCAGGACCAGCTAACTAAACTTAACTTGCTTCCTTAAAAAAAGAGCAAAAGACACAATCTGTAGCATTTTATAGCTATAAATGGCTAAATCCATAGCAAGCAGATGCTAAAACCATTTCCAAAATAAGGAACAAAGGCAGCTACCTACGAAAATACATGCAGAACTGAAAAGCAAATAGGTTTTCAAATATAACTTGTAAGCTTCAAAAAGAGCAATCATTTGGGAAATTCATGAACATTTCACATGTATTTCTACCAGCAAGGGAAGAAATGATAGGAATCCTTTTAATAGCAGCTAAATTGATTTATGTATCTGAGAGCAGAACCACTAAGAAAAACATAAGAGGACAGCACATTTGCATGCCTCCAACTGGGGAAGACTACCCTGTTTTACTAGTCAACCACAGCACTTTGAACTTCTCATTTTGTAGATAAATGAGAACCAGTAATTGAAAGTCAATTCTCTCAAAATTATCTGAAAGCCCCTCAAGCCAGGCTGACAGGACTTATTACACTTCTCTGGTACATATTCCAATCAGCTCTCCATTTAGCTCATAGACAGAGATTCTGCTTTCTGTTTGAGACATTTTTTATGCTATTTGAACGAATACAAATCACATGTCATAGACACACCTGCCAAACCTGCCACCTTTCTCTCTCTGCTTTGGAACTACTCTTGTTCATTTAACCTACAGCAAGGCAAAACCCAAATGAAGATGGTCAAGAGTTAGGGTAGAACTGCTGAATGCAAGTAATTCTTTATATGAATAAGGCTATACTTACTTCTCAGCTTGGTTACTGCTGAAAATAAAGAGAATGTTATAATCTTAAATTACTTTATCAAGCTATCTTTTAAGAATTTGAAGTTATTCAGAAGTCTCTCCTCCTGGTAACTGTTTTTCTAAATGAAAAATGGTTAGAGTTTAGTGTACAGCACAGCCTCTCAAGCTCTCTTTATCTACTTAAACCTAAGTTAACATTTGGGCTGTTCCTGACCCCAGTGAGGAAAATGCAGCCAAGGGTTGGTTGCTCTCAGATGCTCTCTGATCCTGACTATATATATATGCACAAGAAGACAAGATCATTTCCTGTCAGGTGGCTAAAAGAGAAGTTTCTGAAGAACTAAACTTCTAGTAAGTAAAAAAAAACAAAAAAAGTATCTTCCTATCCTCTGAAGAAACCAAGCCCTTATAAATTTCAGAAGAGGTACTGCTGTACTGGCTGCCTTAAGTCACCAGTACACAGGCCACAAGCGGGAAGTCTGATGGGAAATTCAGCTGTAGGGCCACATCACCTCAGGTGTCTGGCAGCCTCTGGTTGTATCTTCTCCATGATGATAAATATTTGGTCTAACTCTGTTACAGCTACTTAAAAATCTCCCTATTAGCTCTCACCGAAACATAAAGTTAGACTTCCTGCTTCACTTTTTATCTTCTAGACTTCACTCTGTGCTGAGGATGCATGACTTTCCACCTCTTTGAGAGATTCAGTTTTCATCATTTCAGGTTCCAGCAGTGCTGGAGGTTTATTTTTTGTCTACAGTCTCAACTCCCCATTTGGAGTATTACGGTATCAAGTACCTGTTGTCTCATTTGTCTGACAACTATGCTACAACTGTTTTGACAAGATGCTTCACCAACTAGAGAGCTAAAGTTCTGTACCAGATCCGGGCTGCGAGAAGCGAGTACTGCAGGACCATATTCCTGCCAAGCTGTGTGACCACAAACTGCTCACACTCTGAGCTAGAAAAGTTCAAGATCAAACTTCCACCAAAAGTTCCCTACTTCTAAAACCCATACTTCAGACACTGATTCATCATTGGGAGGGGTCTCTCATTTGTTGAATATATTTTAGTATAGAAATAATTCACAAAGCAAAATCTAAGCTACAGCATCTCATGCAGGAGAGCTTCCTACAGAGACGGGGGGAAAAGGCGATATTTTGTGGGTAACTAGGTATAGAGACAAATTTAGGAGTAAATAATTGATTCCCAAGAGAGCAGAGATTAACAGCGAGGTATCTCAAGTGCCCATGATAATACCATTAGTACATTAAATCTAGAAATAAAATAAATAGGAAAGACTAATTTGCACTAGAGTATTACAGCAAATTAAATGAGATATTGAAGAATAACATGGATAGTTCCCACTTAGAGCTGTCAAGCTAACTGGCTAACACTCAGAGTCAGTTCAGCTTTCACCCTGCAAGTCACAGCACCGAAAGAAGAAACGGAAGACTTGGATGGATAATTTTAAAAAGTGGAATTTCACTGCACAGCACTGAACTGCGACCACTATATCAAACATACTAGAGCAAAAAGGCATCCAGGCAAATCAGGTATCTCATCCCTTTCATTGCCTCCAATTCCACACAAAAATATAAAATACTTCCATCTTGATTGCATAAACTAACTCCTGTGTTTTATATGTGAAACATATGAACAGTAAGTGTGTGCTTGGTTACAGTAACAGCAATTTGCTTTAGAAAATTCAGTTCTACTTGAATCCAGAGTTTTAAAAAAAGTTTAAAAGCAACTGAAAACAACAGATAAGGCAAACAATAACAAAATCTGACAATTAGCTTTCCCTCTTTAGCAGCCTGAAATATTCACCCTGAAATCACCACTTCTCTTCCAGACACTTAGTCACCAGAAAAGTAAATTACTCGTGACCCAGATTCTCAGCAATGACCGAGCTGTTCACTCCCTATTAAAAGCACCAGGCTCTTGGTTCCTGCACAGCCTGGGCCTGGGCGCTCCTTTCTCTGAGCCATCCCATGTCCCTCTGTCCCGCTGGGTGCAGGCAGATGTACCACGCTCCGGCTTTGCTGTCTCCACGTGCAGGGAACAGCAAGCCAGCCCATCTGGAATGGCAGATGACGGCTTTGGGGAGTCTCCATTTGAAGGAGAAGTGTGTAAACTTCACGTAACAGCAGCACAGAAACATGGTAGAACTCCAGTGAAGGATGAGAGACCTAGGATCAGACATTTGGAAACCTCTAAAGCGATGCCATAGAGAGCCAGCGTGTGAATGGGAATATGGTCAAACAGAAAGTAAACCGGGAAAAAAATATATGGAACTCCCCAAATCTCTCAAACACACAGGCAAATAATTCAGACTAATGCTGCGTGCTCAGCTTCTTCGGCTTTCTCAGCTCTCTTCTGCTGTACTTGCTGTACCTAAGTAATCACCTCAATTTATGCTAAGCACAGCCGTTCTTAAAACAAGTCAGATAAGACACCCCGTACACACACAGTTTTGCTATCAGCAACAAACAGAAAGCATCAATAAAAAAAAAAAAAATAAAAGACTGCCATTAAGTTGACACACCGAGCTAAAACTCGGCAGAAAGTTTGGCTTTTCTGGAAAGAGACGAAGCGCTCCCCCCACCCCCACCAACTTTAAACCGCGCTCTGCAAAGGGGGATGAGGATCCGAGAGGCGGGAGCACAGGCACATCACCCCCGGCAGCTTTGTACTGATACAGGAGAGCGGGAGCCGCCCGCGGGCTCCACAGGGACGGGGGGCACAGGGACAGGGGTGCCCGAGTGCCCCCGCACCGCGCCCGGCCGTGCTGGGGGTGCCGGGGGGCTGCAGCCGGGGCAGCCGCACCGCCCGCCCGGGGGCAGCCCGGGCAGCGCTCCCGGGCCCGCCGCGCTCACCGCGCCCCACGCCCACCTGTACTGCCAGCCCTTGCTGCCGCGGCCGCCGCCGCCACTCCTGCCGCCGCTCTGCCCCGCCGCCGGCGGCGGCGGCTCCGTCCTGCCCTCGCCCTCCGGCCCCTTCATGGCCGCCGCGGGGTCCGCGCCCTGCATGGCGCCGCGGCTGCCGCCCCTCAGAGGCGCCCCCGGCCCCGGCGCACGGAGCGAGCCCGCCCCATGCGGGCTGCGATGGCGGCGGCCGCCGGCACCTCCGCGCCCCGCTCGGCCGCGCCGGGATGGGCTGGGCTGGGCCGGCCGGGCTCCCGCACGGCCGCGCTGGGATGGGCGATCCCGCCCTCCCGCTCCCTCACCCGGCCCGGCCCCACCGCCCCTTCCGGGTCAGCGCCGCCGCCATCTTTAGTGCGGGCAGCGCTGGCGAACCTGAGGGAGCACCCCGGGCTCGGGCGGCGGGGGAAAAGCGGGGATATCCTCAAACCCTCCCTGTGTGGTTAGGCTGCCAGCGCCCTTGAACGGCTCACATCAGAGGGGTTACAGCCTTTATTAATAACGCCGTGACAGGTTAAGGTTCGGGGATTGCCGGTGACAGTGTCTGACTGCAAAAACGCATTCAAAACAGTACGCTAATTCAAAGGAACATCCTAACAAGCTCTGATCCCTAACAAAAGTTAGCTCGAGATAATCGTCCAGTGCACACAGAGTAAGCTTCTTACCCAATAGGTGTCCCTATGGGGAGAACACAGGTTCAGACCATCTGCTGGTCCCAGAAATTATTGATGGAGTCTTCCCTAACTTCCAATTTGGTATATTCTATTATTCTATTATTCTATGATTCTCCTCATTTTTAACTTATATATGCTCTTATATTCTTAACTTGTATTATGTCTTAAAATCAGGGGCAGAGAATCTTCGTTCTGGCTTTAATTAATCTGCACAGGAAGAAGAGGAAGGCAGAATCAGGCATGCCTGTGGTTAGTGAGGTTCTAGTTCTACTCCATGTCTCATCCAAACTCCCTCCTCGGCTCTCTAGCTCTTATTATACACCTATAATACTGTAAACAACCATGACACAAAAGATGCTGAAAATTCCCTGTGTGAGAATCATACATAGAAGCAAAAATGTAAAGGACAGTATATTTCATACATATATTTTATTTACCTACAGCATTTCTGCTGGTAGCAGCTCTTTACCCCATGAAAGCTGCCCTGGCCTTCCAATCTCCTACCAGCACTTTCCCAGTGACATTCAAAACATCTTTGCCTTTGGCCACCAAATGACAACAGCACTACATGAGCATCATGTCTTTAAAATATATTTACAAGCTTTAATCTGGCTCTAAATTAGCACATATCTCCCTACCAAGCACACAAATTTGGATAGAATTCTCTTACAGGGATGTAAGATATTACCACTGCACAGACATAAAACCCACCACTTCTGCCTTTTTAGAAGCACACTTGCCTCTGCAGGCAAAAAAACACCAAAAAATCCCCAACAACAACAAAAAAACCAACCAAACAAAACAAAACAAAACCAAACCAATTAAACGAACAAAAAAGGCTTTCTCAGCTACATTTTTCTCCTGTGGACCTGCAGGTGAACAGACCAGCAGAGTAACGTTGTCCATCTGAGAAAATTTTAGCCAGAATGACATTCTTCTTCCCCTCCAAACTTGTTAGTTCCTGCTCTGCCAATCACTTCACATTTCTATTGAAAATACAATATAATCGCATGGTATCATAATGCATGCCAGTACCCCTGAAACTTCCTACTGACATTTTCCTGGGAAAATCTGAAGCAAAAGGAACTCAGGCAAGAACTTCACTTGTGTGCTTTATTTCCCCACTGCTTGAGGACAACTGGTCCCAGCAGAGTCATAGCTTCACCCTTGCTAAGGTTACCTTCGTAACCATCACAGGTGGTCAGCAGGATGTTCCTCCACCCAGAGCGTCTCCAACGCCCCACACAGGCCAGCGATCCTTAGCGCATGTTTCTGCAGCCCCTGAGCACTGGGTGGTGAACTCCGCTCTTCTTCCTCCATGCATTTAGTTTTTTTCTCTTAAAAAAAAGGTGCTGCATGTGCAGTACCAGAGGCTCTCGTAAGAGGGCATTGACGAAATGCTGAATAGCACAGGAAGGCTGACCGCTCAACCATGTTTACTAAGGGCTTACACCCTTCTAGCTGCCTTCTCTCTTTAGTTTGTGGGTGCTGCTAACTATAGCTTGTGTTCAGTTCACTGCTCTCTTCACTTTCCCCGTTATAATTCAGTGGTTCAAAATGACTCAGATCCCACCCTGGCCTTTTCCAGTGCAGCAGAGGGTAAGCATCGCGGTCCCGCATCTGTGCCCTGCCTGCAGCCTGCCAAAGCCTTGCCACTGGCTGGGAATTCCTGGTCTGGAGGAAGAAATGAGGAAGAGCTGCAGATCTGGAGGAGAAACGTGTGAATAGGATAACATACATTTACCAACATTTGTCAAATAAAATCATTGAAAGCCTGATTATGGCTACAAGCTGCCGTGTATTGTATTTTATTATAACTCAGGTTAAAACAAATCTGCGAAATTTTCATTCTTCATTCTGTTAATTTCAGGAAACTGCCCAGGATCTGATCAAACCCCAAACAAATCTTGTTGATTTCTTTCAAAGTTTATACTCTGGCTATACATAGAATTATGGAATCATAGAATGACTTGGATTGGAAAGGATCCTAAACATCATCTCACTGGAACCCCTGCCAGGGGCAGTGACACCTTACACCAGACCAGTTTTTTCAGAGCTCCATCCAACCTGGCCTTGAGCACTTCCAGGGATGGGGCATCTACAACTTCTCTGGGTAACCTGTGCCAGCGCCTCACCACCCTCACAGTAAAGAATTTCTTTCTGATATCTAATCTAAATCTACTGTCTTTCAGTTTAAAGTAATTTAACGATGCTTAGCATTTCTTCAAATCAGCATCATTTCTTCAGAGCAGCAAAGTCTATACGTGTTCAAAGAGTAAAAGCTCTGAGAGTCAGCATATTTCTCATCACTGTGTCCTTAAAAAAAAAAAAAAAAAAGGTGTAATATTTTAAAAAATAATAATACGAGTTTTCTACCACTCCCTTATTCATCAGACAGGATAGTTTTTCCTGACCTAGTAAGTATCTTTGGATGAGAACAAGTTTAAGAGTTTTAAATCTGTGTTCCACTCTGGTATCCGGGCAACAGATACCATTGCTACATCACTATTGCTGTTCCTGTCTGCTAAGGGAGCTACGTCCTCTACAGGCTTGTGGAGGAATGGGACCAAACCTGGGAAAAGAACGCCCAAAAGTGCAGCCTGCCTTTACTGCACAAGAATTGCGACCTATAATCTTTGCTGAACTGGGGGAGCTGCTGGGCGACGAGAGAATGACACAAAAGTAACATTGCTAGCAAAAATTCTCGTCTGCGTTTTTATTTGAACAATTGTTATTGGGGTAGATTCTTTCTCAAGGCAACTGATACCTCTGATACTACTATTAACTGATACTGTTAATAGTCTGGGAAACAATGTTTTCTGGTCTCTTCTGGGTAATGAACATGAAAGAACTTCCTATTCTTGCCAAGAATAAAAGATACCTGCCTACTAAAACGGTAGGTGCTGTGACACAGGAACAAGAAAGGAAATTTGGTTAAAATAAACAGCATTCTCCTTCAACATACTGAGCACACGGCTGTATTCTCCTGTCTGTAGGTGAAAATGGCCAGTAAGGTCAGGTGAATGTAACACAAGTTATTTCATCCACCAGAGTATTTTACACTGTGAATGTTCTGATTTTGGAGCTTTACAGATATCCCTGAGTCCCTGGGTCTGTGGCTTTGCTGTAATTTGACATGTATATGAAACACTGGATTTCTGGTGCTTGCTTTTAATGGTTTTAATTAATTCTTCTGTAGTTTTAATGATTCAAAACCCTTTTTCATTTGGGATTTTCAATCACTGCCAGTCATCTCCTGATTCTTTGTTCTTCTCTATCAATCCTGCTGTAATGCAGGTGCAGCTGAAAGCAGCAAACTTACACATCACAGCAGCTCACAGTGCCTACAAAGTTTCCCTCCCTGTCCATGACCCATTTACATCCTTCCCACTCACATTTGGCACTGTTTTGAGCTGCACTCAGTGTGACTTTGCATTGAGTCATGCTTCAGGGTCCAGCATTGCCTCATCCCAAAGACCAGACATGGAAATGGAAATTGGAGCAGCAGCAAGGACTCAGTCTGGTTGGAAGCTGGGAGTGTAATCCCACTAGTTTCTGCCCTGTGAGACACTCTCTGAGGAAAGGACTGTGCCCTGGGAACTCAGTGGAGAATGAGACTGAAGGACCTTGCATCTGCCTTCAGAGAGGCTTCTTTGGAGTTTTGCTGCCTGTGTAATTTTCCTTTAATGCTTTTGTTTGGAGGGCAGCGTGGCACAGCCTAGAACTGTCATCCTCCTCACAACAGCCATGGAGCTGCAAAAGTATCAGAAGCAACACTGCTCTGGAGCCATCACACAAGATGAAGAGCACAGCATCCCATCCCTCTCAACCTCAACAAACTACAGTCAGCGCACCTTTTATCTCCTAGACCCTGACAGCCTACAGCTCTGCCCAGTGCCCAGACCCACCACCTGGAACTGTCAAAATATTTACACAGTCTTGGAGGGCCTTCCAACTCCCCACACAGACTAAAGCTTGTCCTGGAGAGGCAGCTCACCAGCACCAGCAGGACATAACTGTTTTACAATCAGAGTTTGAGACATTTCTGTAGCCACAGCATGGATGAACCCTGTGTTTCAACCCCTTTCCCTGCCCTTGCACCACTTCCCAGCATGCATGGCTTTAATCTGTCAGTGTGCTGGAGCTGCTGCTGACAGTTGGATATATGTCCTGGGTCTTTCCCAAGTGCCAATTCTTTGCTTGCTCAAGTCACACAGGATGCCTCCCTGCCCTTTTCTCTCCAACTCATGCGCAGGCAGAGCTCGGGGTATTTCCTCACCACCCACTGTGGCTTGGTGCAGGCTGTTCTAGTGCAAAGGGCGATGCCTGGACCCTGTCACCCCTGTCTGCTCCTTCTGCACCATGGAAGGGCTTTCCTTCTGCCTTGCCTCAAAACCCCTGGGGTGATCCTTACCTGGACTCCTCACCCTGGGCTCAAGGGGATCTTTTCCACCAAGTTACTCACCCCAACAGAGAGTGAAACAGGAACTTCCTCTAGATAGCCCCCTA